GAACATGGTCTCTCTCTCCCCATCACCCATAATATTGATTTACCAAATAGCTATGGCTTTCCTTTTTTGTTTTAGTTCCCCATAAGCTGCCAGAGAACATTGTAGGTTAGAGCAGCTGAGATGAGGTGTTTTTACATTGCATAAATTTGTAAAAATAGAAATTAGCAAATAAATAAATAGGCACACTTAGCAGCTGAAACCTGCATCTTAGAATGGCTCCAACTTGATTAGATGCAATTTGCTTATTCCTTTATAGTGTAATGCTATATCTAACTGTTTGAGAGCCAGCCTTAGCAAATTCATGGCAACTTACTTATGAGGAGATGTGCTTAGGATTGCACTGTTAGTATGCTAAGCCAATCACCATTTCTTTTGTAAAAATTAAATACTTTTGACACTAAGAGAAGAATCCTTTGAGTACTAGACAAGCATCCCAGAAACCAGAATGCCTGGGCCCCCACTCCCAGGTTTTCATAAAAATATTGGGCCTGTATCAGCAACTGTGTGAGCTAAATGTAACTAGTGCTCTGGGGTGAGGAGGAGTGACTTGAGTGCAATGGTGGGCTGAGGAAGACTGGCATTGAAATGAGTAAGTGCCTTATCCAGCCTTTCAAAAGCAACAATACTTGTTTATGCACATGTGCAGAGGTATGAGAGTAGCACAAACCTTTTCCATTGCATCAAGTGCTGTGTGAGGAACAACTAGCTGAAAACACTCCATATACATGGCTACTTTAATCGTATTCCCTTCAGTGGTGCTGAATCCTGCCTAAGGCACACAGGGGAGAAGAGGGCTTGCTTTGGCTTTTGCAAAGGAGCTGTGAATTACTTTTTTCTTCATTCCTTTGCACCAGAAAACCTGCAAACTTTTACATAACAGATAAAAGCAAGCAAACACACAAACCAAAACCAAGCACCAAACTTTTACAGGGCCATTTCCCTGCACACATTCTCCTACTTCTCCCACAGTTGAATTTGTGTGTGATGCAAGACAGTGCTTCCTGATACACAGAAGGGGTTCTAAGTGTAGATCCTCCCAACTCACCAGTTCAATCAACTTCCTTTAAATCACTACCAACAAAACAATACACAGGAGCTTTGTTAATTCATGAGTGGCTATGGAGTGGTGCCTGTACTGTGGACCTGTTGCTTCATTTTGAGTTTCAAATGTTTTTGCCAAAATTGACAAACTCGAAAGAACTGCATAGTGTCTTCTTTCATGTGATGACCACGTTGGAGAATTCCTCATATATGCAATTTCATCTATGCAGGCCAATGCAGCTATAAAACTTGCATGGACTAGTACATGCATGGAAGGTGTCTGTCCCATTGGCAGCAGCATCCAAACATATAGAAAAATAGCACAACAGAGGCTGACCTGAGATAACCCATGGATTATTACTGGGTTATCTGAGGTTGTTCAACCCTCCAACAAGCCATGCCATCCATGTTTGGATGACACAAGTAGCCATATCTGGTGATTAATTATTCAGATCATGCCCAGTATATGCCATGGCTCACAAATACCCACAATAGCTTGTTTAAGTTGTGATGATCTTAGAAATTAGCCCACTGTACTTGAAAAAGTCCCCTATGCAAAGTGAATAAAAAGCCTGAAAGGAAACTAGGAGAACTGAAGAGAGCAACAGCTTGTGAGTGGGAAGAAGCACAAGTGTTCTCAGTTTCAAAACTGTGCAAAACCACCCAACCAACATTTATTCACATAACTGTTCCTGTGTCAGGAGTGAAATAACACCAACATGAATGAAAAGAGAATGGGCAAGATATTACCTGTTCTTTCCATCCTCTGACTCATTTTTATGCAACTCCTAAGAACTGATCAACTCAGAAACTTAGAAAGAGCTAGTCCCTGTGGTTCTCAATAAATAGAGAACAATAGCAGTAGATCTTTAAACAAATGAGACTTCTTTTTTTTAAGTGCTTAAAATCAAGGGTATAGGCAGCTTTGCCAGGTGGGGGTGCGGATGCAACTAGAGATGTTTTGACAAGCATTTTTCTCAAAGTCCTATAGTCAGTATTTAAAGTGCCAGTAGAGAATCATCTTCAAGCATAAACATACAACACACACATACACTGAAGAATGCCTCTTAAGCCTTGCATTGTTTTTGCAAGAGAGACACATAGACCACTTCCTTTTTATTTTTATTTTTTAAATTTTGGTTCTATAAAATGGCTATATATTTTGGAGACAGATAGCTGCTTCTTCAAGGTGCTGAAAGTGCAACAGTCTGCCATGTGTACTTTGATCCCACTATCAACCTGGTAAGCAATGCCTTAAAACACTGTTTTGGTAATCCTAATCTTTAAGGAAGCAATCATTAGAAGACAGTTGGATATATAAAGTAGAAGAATGGCTTATAAATTCATAAGAAAGCAGACACCGTTTAGAAGATGTAACACCAGATCTCAAGCAGAATAAAAAGACTAGCCTTACTGGTCAAGGAAAATAAGGCCTTTAACTAGCTAGTCTATCTGTAATATGGCAAGCTTGAAGACACTGAGATAAACACTGGGATATTGAATGTTTGAGAAACTGGGGTAAAATTTGGTACACATGCTCAGGAAACTGTTCTACAGTTTAGCCTCCAACTCACTTTCAAAATTGAAGAAGAAAATGCAAAATACAATATTTGCCTTAAAGGCTGAGAGGTCAGAATGAAATATGGTACATTCATTTAGAACGGCATTCAAAGTTTTCTGTTTGAACCCTATACCTGCTTTCAGTGAGATCAGTAAAGACTCTAGTGTGATGCTTCTCTTGAGCACTGAAGTATGCAAATGAAATGTGGAGTGTATTGTAATGACCTAATTCTTCATTGTATTTAACTCACCAAGTCCACAAGGGGTGGGGAGAGGAATTGCAAAATAGACAGAAACACAATAACTGAAATGCAGCCTCTCAAATACTGTGCTTACTGTTTAATTCAAAACATAAGAGAGTATTTGACTGTTCTGAGTCTGTGTTTCCCAAGGCTAGTCCAAAGTGCTTTCCAAAGAGCTGAGGCTTGCATTCTATTTGCCAGGGCTACACACCAAGAACCATGTCCTGACATAACCTTGACTTAAAATAATCTATACCTGAAAGTGAAATTTCCCCTCACGTTACTGCACACTAGGTATCAACAAATTCTGTATGCCACATTTTTCCTAGACGAGTACACTGCCCTCCTATGTATATTTGCCACTTGCACAGCTGCTTTCTTTCATACGCCTGTGCAGGAAAAATGTCATCTTAGGAAGAGGATTTACTTCACTTCTACAGCAATGCCCTATTGGCCACTTCAAACAAAGATCTCAAGGAAAGTCCAATATACCTTCGGTTTCTAACATTCAAGGTGAGTTCCAGTATGCAAGTTGATCCACCCTATCCTAATGTCAACAACTTAATTCTGGAAGACCAGCCTTTCTTTCCTATTCTTCCAGTTTGGTTACTGTTCTGACCATAACTTCATACTGAATATAGATTTTAAAGCAACACCTGATCCTAACTTCGTTTATTCAGAAGTCAATCCTATTGACTTCACTGGATTTTATTCTCAGCTATATGGTATCCAATATCATGTAGATCTGGTATTATGTAAAGACTTGCATTTTACTTCAAAGATATTTATTAATATATTATATCAATTATAAAGTATTAGAATTTAAAAAAATTAAGAGACTGACTGATTGCTCTTCGGAAAAAAGACAAATTTGACTTTTCAGTGTTCCACCAATCTGTGTGGGTGCACCTCTAGCAAGAGATAAGCATTTTCATGTTGAAGATTCAAATCTCAATTGATACAACTAAAAAACATTATTTTTAGAATTCAGCATTGGTTAAAAGCACTGTACCACAAGAGCAGAGGAAAACTGAGTAAATCTTTGCCCACTTTGGATGCAAACTAAACCACAATTCTGTGTTATACAAATAAACTTAAGCAGGTCTTAGGCTGCTGCACTTTCCTCTCTTTCTCCAGAAATCTAGAATTTCTTCATTTTGAATTAACTGAGTTCATAATTACAGTTTATTTTATTTTTTATTTAAAACTTTTGTACACCATCCCATCACAAATGTCTAGTTTGAACTGAGGGTGTGCTAAATAGTATAAATCAGTGCCTGTAGAGGTTTCAGCTTGTAACTCCTATCAGCCCCAACCAGAATGGCCATTGTCAGAAATTATGGAGATTGTAGATATCCAAAGAGAAGCCCAAGTTAGGAAAGGCTGTTTTAACCTTTAGCTTGTCTAAATAAATCAAGATGACACCATAATTTATAATATGGGCTTCTTAGCAAACTATACATTAAACTAGTTTGGATGCAACAATGAACTCCAGGTAGTTTAAGGCAGATAGAGAGTATTTCTGATCTCACAGCAGCATTTAAGAAACATGGTGAAATACAACCACAGTTATCTTCTGCAAGTAATGCTATGCTGTGACATTCAAAATGGGCAACTGACTAAACAAAGCCTCTCAACTAACTTTTTTTTGATGATTTTCAAAACAAACTTCACAAGATATCAGAAAAGAGCTAATTGGGAAATGCAAAATGTTGCCTGGGTTTATTTCACTAATATTCAAAACAACACGTAATGATAATTTTGGAAGTGTTTTATAATACAGCAAGCACAACAGGAGAGGATAAGTGGATTTTTTTTTTGCAAGGAAGGAAGGAAGGAAGGAAGGAAACCAACGAGGTCTATCAGCCTCAGTAAGCAAGGGCCTTCTGAAAGAAAAATGGGAGGAAAGCCATTTGTTGGTTTTAAATTCACAGTCATTAAACAGAAATTACAGATTAGTGGTAAACAAGGAGATCACAAACTAATGTGAACTAAGGTATCCAGAAATTAGCTTCAACAGGACAAAACTAAGTTATTTGCAGCCAACCTCTGTCTCCCTGCTGACAGCATCTTAATTTCAAGCTCCAAAGTATGTAGTACCCCCGAAAGGTAGTTTTGACCTGGAAAAAGAAGATGACTGCATTGGAGTAACCTTACCCATAGTTTGCTGTCATAATAAAATGCTCCCAGCAACTTCACAATGTAAGGGTGGTCACAAGTTGTAAGAATCTCAATCTCCACCATGTAGTCCTCCAGTTCATCTTCACTCTTGGTCTCAATGACTTTGGCAGCAGCTAAAACCCCTGTCTCCTTGTTTTTGGCCTGTAAAATAAAAAAAAGGGAGCACTATAATCAAATGCCAGCACTGATCATCACAACAGTATAGATAGCCTCTTAGAGTAGTTGAACAGCTGTGTAAAGTGGCATCCCCCTCCAGTTGGTAGAATAAATTGTGTTATCAAGAGTTACAGTTATGCAACAACTGAGCAATCCTGACAAGAAGAATTTGCTATTACCACCATGGTGCACTAAGAGTGCTATAAAAATGTTGACAAGCAGTTCTGAATATGGATGCTGTAACTCATCTCCAACTCTATTCCCCAAATGGCAGACAAGGAAAGAAAGGGCTGAAACTCAGAAGCCTAGCAAATAATTTCCAGTACTTTAGCTCCTACACCACCAGTACTCCAGTTTCTCAACCAACTATTCATCTAATTTCTAACCTGCCCTATTAGCCACATGACTCCCTGGGTGGGTTACAAGAATAAAACAATATAAAACCACAAAAAATCAATTTACAATAAGGCAGACAAACTACTAGGCAGACAAAACCTTAAAGATCAGAAATGGGGAATGTATGACTCTCTAAATGTTGTTGAACTGCAGTTCCCATTGTCACCTACCTCAGGTCCTCCTGCCTAGGGTTGATGGGAGGTGTAGCTCAACATCACCTTGAGGACCACATGTTCACCATCCATGGTCAGGGGTGCCCTCTAGAGTTAGGTACTGACCTGAATGTAGTTAGCTGACACTCTTAGCCAATCAAGACTTAACATCTAACTGAGAAGCTTGTAACTGAGAAAGATGCTGGAGAGCACTGCTTCTCATGACCAACAGGCCAGCATGACATCTGCTTCTGGCTTCAGGGACTCTGGTCTGGCTGCACGGGAACCAGACCTTTAGCTGCTTCTATCTTTTGAGATGACAAGGAAGTTAATAATGTACCTCTTATGCACTGAACATACCAGGGACATCAATGCATAAACTAGAGCCTCAGAATTTTGGAAACTTTTCTGTGGAGATACTGATGTCTGAGCTCCCAGCTCACTGGGTCTGCTCTCTTTGTCTGCCTGCCAGCCCTTCTTACATGATGCAGAAATAAGAGAATGGCCATAAGCAGGGCTCTGGTAATGCTGTTTATCCAGTCAGAAAAAAACACCAAATAGCTGGGATGGCTTGCATGAGAATTCAAACCTTGCTCTCTCTCTTGGACACAAACATGGACAGTTAAAAATACTAAAGGCATTATTAGATAAATTTGACCTATCTCCATAAATACAGCTTGGTATCTCCCAGATCTTTATTTACTACTCTGTACATCATAAACTCTCTAGATGTAGCACAAAACTTGGTTACTCCCTTCATCAAAGCATGCAACAGTACTTTCCCAGTTGGATCTCACACAACACACTCATCAAATGACAAATGGGGTAGGCAGTTATGTTTATATCTGGGAAAATTCAGAGGACCTGTTTTCCTTAACATTATTGCTTTCTCTTTTTAGCTCTCTGTTTAGAAAAACTGTTCAGAATATTTATAAAGGGACTACTTCTCAACATAAACACTCCAGGTGTGCTTGAATTAAGCACATGTTATTAATGCACACACACATCAAGCTGCTCTTATGGGTTTTATGATACTGGGTCAGCATGCGCATTTGCAGCCTCCACTTCCTTTTCAGGAGAAAGAGACAGAGCACAGATTCCCTCCACCTTGACTCTTGTTTCTTACATGGCTCTTTACTGGAGTGCAGCACGCAGCCAGCAGACAGCAGGATGAGAAGTACCTTACTGTAGTCCAGCTTGCAGTATGGAACTTGAAACAAGAGAGCATTGGCTAGCCACCTGATATATCCTCAGGAAAAACAGCAACCTTTGCTGGATGTTTTGGGGTACAAAGCTACCAGCTCCAGCCCACACACTGGCAGCCACCCCTCCAGTAGATCCATTCATAATTAGACTTCCATTGTGAAACCCTTCTTTGCCATCTAATCTACCCCCCATGAAGTGGGGCAAGTTCCTTCATGCCAGGTTATATCTGGAGGAAATGGATCATGCTTTCATGTGGGTCTCATTCTCCAGCAACACCACAGTGATACAGAAGACTAAATCAGTGACTACTGCTGGGACACCACCTATTTTGGGTTGTGTGCTGGGTCCGGCTTGTCTCCCTAAGTGTAAGAATGACATGTTCCACTTGCAACTTGTGTCCTGCAGCTGCTGCTTCTATCACAAAGTATCAGGAGAGAGCAGATCACAATTTATGAGGGAGAAACAGCAAAAGGGAGCGTTTAGGGTTTTCTGTACTCATTGTCCTTGTCCGAAACCTCTACCCAGCTGCTTCTCTGTGCCCCACGCAGACATTCCAGATTAATGTTTGCAGCAGATTAGATTCAAATTTCAGCTATCTTTTTACAGGGAAATCACCACAGAGAATGGAAACTTATATCAAATGTGGCAACAATCTGTACCTACATTCTATTGAAATAAAATTATAAAAGAATAGCTATGGGATTTTTAGCCCACTTTACAGTTATCTAATTTACAAAGCAGTAAATGAGAAAGGGGAGAACTACTCTAGAACAGCTGCTCACTCAGGAAATAAAGTGGTAGAAAAGGAAGCATGAAGTAAGTCTGTGTGGGCAGCATCTGTCACCTCATTTTTCAGGCATTCTGAATCTAAGATAGGAAAAGCAGAGCATTTCTGTTACAGTATCTTAGATTTTCTGAAACAAAGACAGAATAATGAAATGTAGACCCCTGAAGATTTAGAAACAGTGAAAGAACATAAAAAAGATCAGCAAACATCAGAAGTCTTGCCTGAGGACAAAGACTACTGCGCCTAGATTATTCTCATTATACTTTCAAAAGCACAGTATCAGTAGTGAGAGGATTTACTAAAGGCATCAATTTGCCTATTTTTACCCTCCAACTATCAGTGAAGTATCCGAATGTCAGTATTTGACAGCGCAGACAATATGACTGGGGACAAGTAGAAGAGAGATGGAAAATCTCAGTCCTCCATTTCAGCTGGTAAGCGTGTCATTTTTGGACTTCTAAAAAAAATCTGTACCTGGAAGATATCTGTGTGCAGGTATTTCTGTCCAACACCACATTTCAGCTTTCTATCCACATGGAAGCACTCCAGCAAATAGGGCAGGAAACGCAGCTTAAGCATCTTTAGAGAAATGGAACTCCCACTGCTCAGCAGTTTGTTTCTGGTATAGTAGGCCTCTACTGTGAAATAAGCTTCCTGTCTTAAGTATCAATGGGAGAACAGTTTAAACATCCCATATGCAAGTTTTATTAGAAAACAGAACAGTCTGGACTACTCTGAGATCCCTGTAAGTGAATGAGGCTCAAGCATAAAAAACCATCCAGAGGCATTTGTTTTGACAAGTGAGAGCTGTGACAAAATGGAATCCTCAGATTCAGGGTCAGGGTGTCTCCCCACTCAGCCGTTTTGCTGACTGCTGCATTTGTTACTCCCCACCCATTGCCCCAGTCACAGTGGTGCTGAACATGCTCAATCCTTATTCAGTGCTGGTTTAGGGGCACAGAGACATGGCTTTTGACTTCAAGAATTGTATTTGTGAGTATGCTGAGTAAGAGGTTGCTGTTAGTATATAGACTAAAAATGATGACCTGATGTTGGATGTATAGTTGGCTGATGAAGCAGTAAGGCTGCTTGAGAGGGTGGGGTACCGTATTTTTCGCTCTATAAGACGCACAGACATTTCCCCTTACTTTTGAGGAGGAAAAAAGTGCGTCTTATAGAGCGAATGTGTGTGTGCCCGATGCCCGGGACGCTGCCAGCTCGCCTGCACCACGTGGCACCACCTGGCCGGCACGCACTCGGCGCACCCTGCTCCATCCCCCTCCTCCAGTGCAGGTGAGAGCTGTTAATCACAGGTTGGTGTGTGTTTTCAAATGGCAACCCGTCTTTTAATGAAGCCCATGGGGAAGTGGTGGGGAATGTGCCTGTGATTATCAGGAAGCTTTCCATGGATCAGTTATCTGTTAGTTGATCAGACACATTTTTTTAGGATCAGTGGATATTTGAACAGCATTACCTTCGTGTATGAAGTTTATTCTTCAAAGGCTACTTAGTCCGCTGTGTGTTTGATTTACCGTACAATAGCTCATTTTTTGTCAGAAGTTTTTTTCTATTATTTACTAGTAGGGCAGCGTGGACATTACTGGCTTTTTTAGATTTGTTATTGAATTGTCTGCAGCAGTTCTTGTATAACTGGTGTAGATTGTGGATTCCTTCAATAATTCCACTACTGACTAAGAAAGTGATGTCAGTGATTGTGAGCAACAGAGCTTCATAAATTCTGACTCTAGTGATGATGAGTTCTATGGGTTCAACGAAAACTAGAAGGATACTCGAACTTTAAAGACTCTCTTTTGTTAATGACAGTGATGATGGTTCTTAATGCCACTGTTGACCGCTGTTCACTTTACAAGGTTGAAATATGGTATTACTGTATTCTGTTATAGTTTATTAAATAGTTTAGTAAACCATCTGATTCAGAATATTTTTTTTTCTTGTTTTCCTCCTCTAAAAACTAGGTGCATCTTATGGTCAGGTGCATCTTATAGAGCAAAAAATACGGTATTTTACCACAAATTGCTTAAGGGAAATGCAGCTGCTGCCCAGCAACACTCCCTTTGGTATGTCTGCTGAAATTCTACCATCAGCTGTTATTTTACAGAGTTTCACTTGTGAGGAATCGTTGGCTTTTCCTTTGGTGGTTTACATGGCTTGTTTTTTCTAAGAGAGCCACTAGAAAGTTTCCTTTTTTGATAAAAATTCTGGAACTCATCCACAGGATAACCATCCCTTCAGTTACAGAGTCTCACTTGAAAGGCGGGGAAAGAAGTCTAGTGTGTATATGAGTGTGTGAAATTAAGCTTCTTTAGGGTGGGAGCCCTTTGTGCTGCACACCAATATTAATCCAACCCTGGACTAAAGCATTCTTCAAAATTTCCCTCAAGTTGGATTGTATTTGCTCACCACTGCGGGAGTGAAGAGCCACT